CTGTTGAAACTTATCAGTGGCTGATTCCAGGAAGCTGGGGGCAGAGCAATTCTGCCTCCAGCTTCCTGTAGTCAGCCCCTGGTCAGTTTCAGCAGCAGCGGCTGAATCTGGAGCCAGTTCCGACTCACATACAAATTCAACTTAAGAACAAACCTATAGTCCCTATCTTGTACGTAACCCGGGGACTGCCTGTAATTCTCACGTGTTCTCTCTCTCATCTCTAAATCCTATCTATTTTACATTTGTTTCTTCTTTTTCCTCCAATGAATGTGTTTTGAGATGAATTTTTGATAGCGCATCATAACACTGATGCTTCCTTTGACTTTTTAAAATAATTATTCAGTAAAAGGAAATTCATCCTTTTCCTTGAAAGACTGAACAACAGCTCTGCATATTTGGAAAGGTCTGATGTTGACCAAACAAATATATTTTACCAGCAGACTATTTAAGTGAAGATACTATGTTTTATCCATCCCCAAAGGGGTCTTCTGATACCAACTTGTTCGAAGTTCTGCCCAATCTTCCTCATGCCAACCCTGGTGAGGAAATTCACTGACCTAGCTTCTGCTTCCTGAAGGGCCTCATCACATATGCAGAATGTCAACATTACAGATTCTAGGAAGGATCTTTCTGAATAGCCACTTGAATGATGCTGTCAACTCTCAATTTTATTGCAAATCTCATAGTACTGGACATTTTTTAAAGTCCTAGCTTCTGGAGTTATGTGAGAATCTCAGCTTTAAACCCCCCCCCCACACACACACACACGTTTCTAGACATCTTTGCTGAAGAAAAAAAAAAGATTGAAAAGGGAACCCTTCAAGTTCAAAACCGGAAGGAAAATAAATACCGGCCAATTTTTTTTTAATATCTCAATATTTGCAAGGCAGTCTCATGATGTTTGAACAGTCACATTTGGAAATATTGCTCCAGCCCCCTGCTCTCCCAAAAATGAAGCAGTATCTCTCCAAACTTCACTAATTAAGTCACAAACAGATTTCCAGCAAGAGTCCACACTCCAGCTGACAAACACTGTTAACCCAGTGAAAGCCAACATAAATTAGAACTTTACTAAAAAGGTATTTAGTAAGCTTGAAAAGATATTGGTCCTAATCCTGGTGTAGCACATTTTACAGGGATGGAACTTAGAGGTGAAAATGAGATTCAGGAGTAGATAAGCATTGAAAGCAACACAAACGTGCAGCTGTCTTCATAATATAGGCTAATTAAACCAGAACTTAAAAGCTGTACGGTCATGCTCCTTGCCACTGAGTTCCAGCATTATGGCAAGGGCACAAATAAGGCCATATTTATATAATATTTAAAAGGAGGGATACAAACCTTTCTAAAAGCGTGCATTGTGATTTCTCCATCAAAATGGTACCACCAATCATTGTCATGCCTAGAGCTCATCACAAGTATCAGAAGAGCTCAAGTTAAGTAGATCTGCATTTTAACTATAAATCCCTTGTTTTAAGAAGTTTATAGAAAAGCTGTTAAAATCCCACACGCATTTTAAAATGAAGCAAAAAAAATTAATATCTGTGCCAGGAAAAAAAAAAAAAGAAGTGGCCCATTTTAAGTAACAACAATGACAACATTAATAGGTTTTGGACACAGATTTTGTACTCCTGCAATGCGGAAAATAAAAATGCTTAAGCAACATACCTCTATGGAGTTCTATGCTGACTAATAATAATGGCATTGAAAAGCTGCCTTTCTAAGTGGTACATTTATTCAGAAAGAACCATGTTTACAGACTTGGCACACAGAAACGGAAGTGAAACACAATTTGCAAATAATGTCAATTAACAATGTACTTTTTAGTGGTGAATTAAAGGGTGAGGTCAATGCATATTAAAAAAATATTTCAAAAATGTTTCCTGGATATTGATTAAACAAAGATTGACTAGCATACTTCCCTAAGTAAATAGCTAAAAGAATGTTTTTAGAATTTCAGAAGATGACCACATGAATGCATTACATACATTTCTCTCTACGGCTTGAAATTTCATTGAAGTCGAAAAAAAGTAGGTGTGAAAGATGCAGGATTGACAGCGCTGGGAAAAGACAACCTGAGTGCAGCCACACAAAAGAATAAGAGTTGTGCAAGTTTTTCACCTCACTTCAGCCAGTTCATCAAAATCAATTTGTATGGATGACCTCTACTTTGGGATGAAAGGAACTTCTAGCTGTTCTATCCTTGTCCTCTTTGCTGAGACCATTTAATAAGAATATAAAAACACCATCACATGGATGTGTGTCCACCAGGAATGTAACTGACAACTCACTGATTTTATACAGGTTAGTCTATAGCCATCAGATGGTACAGTGTGTTATCCACAACTAGATCTCAACCAGTCACAAGCAGATAGTTCGATGAGCTACCCTCAGCCCATATGTACATGGATGCATGCACACAACCCACCTAAAAATCTCAATTCTTTATGAAAGGGCAGCTGTAAAAGGACTATTCTGAAGATTTTTTTTTAATCTAATGATCTAATCAAATAAAACTGGAATGTTGGTCTTCCAACACTAACCAGCATCCATGACTCAAATCACTGAATCACCAAATGTTTCAGTAATGTCTTTGAACTGATCTGTTAAGGATCATTACAGAGATAGCTCAACTTGGCTCATATCAAATACAGTGGAGAACCTGCCCCAGGAGAACCTAGAGACCTGACCCCCTCCAGCTCACCTGCCTGAGTCTGCTGTCCCCAGCCTACTTGGCAGAGCTCTGGTCCCTACCCAGAGCCCCACATGGGGCAGCAGCTGCTCCCAGGGTTCTCCAGCCCTGTGCACTGTAGGGGCAGCTGCTCCCTGGACTCTCTACCCACAGGTCACTGCCCCTGCAGGCTGCTGTCGACCAAAGCTGGCTCCACTCCCAGTCACTTTCAACCTCTACGGCTGGGCTCTCTGGTCTAGCAACATCTCTGGTCCTGCCGGACCAAGAATATTGCTGGACCAGGGAGTCTCGAATGAGAGTCTCAAAGTGAAATCATTCTTTTGTTCTCTCCATCTCAACATTGACCAATTATCTGAAATTTTACTAAACTGCATATATAGAAAATAAACTGTTTGACACTGAATATTATATACTTCTAACAATTATTTTAAGCCATAGTCTAGAAACAAACATCCAAGGATGTTCTAAGGATCCCCTAGGTAAGCCAAATAAAGGACACTGAGGAAAAGCAGTTTAACAGTTTAACTGGCTCCCGCTCCCCCCCTTGCTGCCTGTCTCTGACAGAGGCAGCTGGAGGGGGGCAGGAGGGTTACTAGTCAAGTAACTAGTCAACTATCCGATAAGCATTTGCTTACATCCCTGTTTGAGACCATTTCACCTGACTCACTAGTGTGTTGATGTGTCTGTACTGTAGGTCAGACACAGACTAAGTCTTTTGGGGAAGGTCCATTTCTTTCTCTGTATATTTTCAACACTCAAAAATAATAAGCATCTGACAGTGATCTTCTATGCAGTGGCCTAAATGAAATGACTGTCTGAGCAGACATACCAAAGACAGAAGGATGCGACTACAGAATAAACCCCCTAAAAGTCATCCCCTTTGATCAGGGTTGAGGCCCAGAGGATTGCAGGATTGGTGTATAAATTAAGACCCAATAAAATGAAGGGTCATCTCATAAGATAGATATATTAGAATCAGAAATACAGAAAAGGGCAACAAAAATTATTAGGAGCATGAAACAGTTTCTGTATGAGGAGAGATTAAAAAGACAGGGAGTACAGGCAGTCCCCGGGTTACGTACAAGATAGGGACTGTAGGTTTGTTCTTAAGTTGAATTTGTATGTAAGTCAGAACTGGTACATATTGTAGGGGAAACTCTAGCCAAACATTTCTCCAGAGCTCAGTTTTATTCTCCCACACCTCACTTCCCTCAGTCTTTTATTCTCAAGCTGAGGTGTCTGCTGAGAAAAGCCGCTCCGCATCTCCCTGGTCTGCTGGGGGGAAGCAGCTAGTGCAGGGTTGCCTCACCCCGTTTGTAAGTAGGGATCTGATGTAAGTCGGATCCATGTAACCCAGGGACTACCTGTATTCATCTCATAACAGAGCTGACTAAAGGAAGATATGATAGAGATCTATAAAAATCACATATAGTGTGGAGAAAGTGAATAAGGAGTGTTATTTATCCCTTGACACAGCACAAGACCCAGGGGCTGCCCAATGAAATAAATAAGCAACAGATTTAAGAAAATAAAAAGAAGTATTTCTTCACACAACACACAGTCAATCTGTGAAACTCAATGGCAGGAGATGATGTGAAGTTCAAAAGTATAAATGGGTTAAAAAAATTAGCTAAATTCACAAAGGATATTGTCTATTAGCCAAGATGGCGAGGGACACAACCCCATGATTGTAAGCCTCCAAGATGGCCATTCTCATGTTTAAGTTTGGTGAATGAGGGAGAAGAGGAGAACAAAGATTACCAAAGAAAGATCATATAGTTGTTTTGGTGGGTAACTTGAGTTATTTGAGATCCTTCAAGGTGGTTTGTTTTACAATGATCTCATCGCTGCACACGGAAGACAGGGACTTACAGTTCACATGGAAGAAGCAACAGGGAGGCAGTTGGCAAAACTCCTGTTCCTTGGACAAAATTATGACTTCTTCTGGTCTGTGAATTCTGCATGTTTCATTAGCACTACATTTGCATTTATTAAGATAGTAAGCAAGGCTAGGGACTTTAGAATCACTGAACTATTAGGATGTAAGGGACCTTAAGAGGTCATCAAGTCCAGTCCCTTGCACTGAGGCATGACCAAGTAAACTTTCTGGGGCTTGAAGATTACACTGTCTTTTTTCCTGGGTATATCAGTGTCTCACACAATGGAGGCTCAATCCCTGATTATATCCTCTAGGCACTACAAAGTAAAAACACTAAATAGCAATGGTACTAATACTACTTTAAAAAAGGCTAGGAGGAAAGCAAGTAGTAAACATTGGCTCAGTGAAAATTAATAAAAGCAATCATACCTTTAACACCTCAGGGAAATGTGTTCTTTCCTTATTATCATTTTTCACATTGATGGGTTCATTTTCCTTATTTGAAAAGCTGAAAAAAACAAAAATACAAAAACTATTTTAAAGCTCAGCATTAAGTAAAGCAACTTAACAGAAGAGGCACAACATGACAATTTAAAAGCAAAGCTAAAAACTATTATTTTTGTGTGTTTTTTTAAAAAAGAGCACGTTGCACACATTTACCCTTAAAAAAACCAACCTGTGTACAGTGCTAAGATAGAGCACGATCAGCTTTATGGGGATGGTGCATGCACAGTATGGCTGGCACACTGATGCCATGAGGAAATAGAATCTTCAAATGCCAAATTTACAAACCTCTAACTAAGATTGGGATCCTCAGGCCTAGAGGCCAGATGCGGCCCCCGACTTGCCCGGATCAGGTCCCTGAGGCTCAGGACTCCCCTCTGCCCTCCCAGCACTGGGAAGCCCATGTTGGTGCTCCAGCCCATCACAGGGCTGGAGCACACAAAATCTACTAGCCTAGGATCCAGGGCTCTGGTGTGCGAGGGCAGTGTCTTTCTTCTTTTCAGGAGCCACGTCAGTGAAGGGTTTTTTTGTTTTGCTTCTCACTTGTGTGCGCCCCCCCCCCAACTGATTTTTCTGTGGATCAGCAGCTCCTGGACCAAAAAATGTTCCCCATCACTGCTTTATTTCCAAATTGAAAAAAAAAAAAAGTAAAAAAAAAGATGTTCCTGCAGAATGCAGCGTGCCGGCCGCCATTTGAGATCCACAGGCCAGCTCTGGTGCCAAGAGCAGCAGCAGCAGCAACAGCTACCCACGAGGAGGGACAAGGGGGAGCTCTTCTTCCCTGTGAGCCCAATCGTGCAGTGAGGCTTCTGCCTTTCTCTTCCCCCCCAACCCAGCGGGAAGCTGGGGCTGGTGCGCCAACCTAATGAAGGAGGGCGAGGCTGCAGCACCAGCGTGGGAGAAAGAGGGGGGAGAAGCTGAGCTCCAGCCATGGACCACCTGCACCCCCCCGCTGACTTGGGAATCCATGGGGGGAGAGGGGCAGTACAGTCGCACTCTTTGTACACACCCCTGTGTACAGGTCTGCTTTAATCAGTTAACCATATTTTAAGTGGTTAACTGGTTAAAAATGTAAATGGGATTTAACATCCCTAACTATCCCTATTATTTTTTCGTCTCGTCCTACAGGTGTTCAGTGAAGATCTCACAACCTCCTTCAGGCAGGTCACTGCTATATAATAAAAGTACTCTGTTGTATTTAACCTAGCTTTTCTACTCTTAGGATCCTACAAAATCCTACTCTGAGATCTGCATGGCTTATCCTGATGCCGATCTATTTGATGACAACAGGAGCATATAGCAAAAGCTGAATAATGGGTCTGATATCCACTATAAAAGGATGCTTTTCCCCTTAGCATTTAGAACACTGCTTCTTATAGGACCAGCCTGGACTATTAATGAAACTCATCCTGTCTTTTTTCTAATGGCATGTACTTATAACCCATTAAAATGCTAACCCATCATCATTTCTTCCTCTACCCATTACTTTAATTTATAAACCATGTTTATAAAGAAGAGAGTAACGAAAGCATTTTTGGCTGTTTTTATTTTTATTTTTTTTAAACAAAAAGACAACATTTAAAGTGCAATACTGACACAGATTTATTTTGTTCTAGCATCAGCCTTGTTCAAACAGGTTACTGTAAAATCCTGTACTATATGTAGTGAACAGATAGTTTTAAAATTGTATTTAGTTTTGAGGCAAATGTCTTAAAATAGTAAAGTTTCTCTTTTGTTTATCTAATCACATTAAAAACAAAACAGTTTTTGAGGGCATGTTTTTATCTGGAAGTTACCTTATTAGTTTTTTTAAATCGTCCATGTGTTTCAACATTCTAAACCTTCTGCTTTAGTCAGTAAACACTGTTTTTACAAAACCCTCGGTTATGTACTACATGAGTCACATTGTAAATAAATAAAAAGCTTAAAAACACAAAATATGGCTCAGAAAATACGGCTCTTGGATTGTTTAGAATAAAACTACATTTTTTGTTTGCCCCTAAAAGTTGAGACTACATTCCAGGGCAGAGAACAATAAGTGTGCATCTGCTGGTGCTAAATATTATAGTTAGGAGTAGTGAACAGTCCGGTTACTGCTAAGCAGATTCTCAATGACCTAATTAGCAATTTTATTTTACCAAAAAAAGAGAATTTGAATTCAGTGTTTTTATCATCATTCAGTGTTATGCAACAGAAACATCTGCAAATACGGAAACATTTGACCCTATTTTCCAAGCACAAAAATAGATAGTAAGCATTAATTGTACTTTTACAGCAAAACTACACAAAGTCCTTCACTACTGTGTTCAAAACAGATGAACCAATATAACTATTCCACTCCCATCCTCCTGTTGCAACAGAACAACTCTCCACACAGCTGATAAAACATACTACATGTTTACATACAAAATATATGAATAAGTAAAATGATGTTTATAATTATATATTCCCAGGCAATTTTTATATATGTATGATTTAAATGAAGATGCCCCAAAATTACATGAATTTATTTTAATTCTATCCGTCAAGCCTCAGAAAGATCAGTTTTTCAAGCAACCTAATTGCTTTCCACTGATAGAATGTACAAATGCAATCCTGACACAATATAATCCGAGTTTCGTTGTTTAGAATACTTAATAGCAGTGAATATTCTATAATATATTTTGTAAAAGTAATGAACTGTAAGTAATGTGATGGAATACACACAACTATCCTAGCCACAAAATGAGAACAGATGATGGATAGGTGGGGGGGAGGTGTTCACCATGGCCATTAGGGAAGTGTAAATTCACATTCCACATTTTTCTTCACATATACTGTTGTAGCCATGTGGGTCCCAGGATATTAGAAAGACAAAGTGGGTGGGGTCATATCTTTTATTGCAACAACTTCTGTTGGTAACAGAAACAAGCTTTTGAGCTGACAGAGCTCTTCTGGTCTTTCTTTCACAGTCTGACCACGTCACTGAAAGTTTCTCTCCAAGTTGTTGTTGCACTCAACCATACCTAGAGTGTTGTTGGGTTTTTTTTTGTTTTGTTTTGTTTTTAAGATATTTTGTTCATATAAAGATTGACCCTGCCAGGCTCCGAGCCCTCTGGCTATACTCCATCCAAACTTTAAACATGAGTATCTTTAAGCACAGGATGTCCCATTAAAGTCAAGTAGGACTACAAACACATTTAAAGTCCTTGCTACATCAGGTCACAGTGAACACTCAGATTGGTTTGAACACTTCCACTAAATAGACAAGAACCACTGATTCTATGGAACAAAGTCTTTTAATCAGGCCTGGTTCACAGACTACTTTGTTGTTTGTGGAGAATCAACTGACAAGACAATCTATTAGATTTGAACAATCTGCCTTGAGTAAACCGACAAGTTTGCCAAAACACAGTTCGAAAAACTCATGGCTACAAGTACCATGACTCACGATATCTAAAAAATATCAGCAAAATGTAAATGGTACAGAGTGGAGCACCTTATACAAAGTAGCTATTAGCAGATCTAATCTAGTGTATTAAAATTAGCTTTGCACCATCCCACAGGTGCAAACTTGCCCGAAAGTTGGTTTGACTGGCCAGAGAAGGATCATTCCAATGGAGAGAGATCATCAGGCACACAGGATCATCATTACAGTTACTAAGTCACCACTTATGCCTATGACTAGCATAGAGGATGTCATGGAGTCCAGGCCCCAACCTATAAGTCACCTGAGAGTGACCCTTTTAGTGTGCTAGGCCCCAAGGACTCATTAAGTTCCACAGAGGCAGGCACGTAGCCTACAAGACGGGGCTGTCAGGTGCCTAGTGTTTGAATGGAACGCCTCAGCCTGGCCAAAAAGGGACCCGGGAGGCTCCAGTCAGCACTGCTGACATGGCCACTGAAAATATGGTTGGCAGGACTAGCAGTTTCCCTACCTGGCTCCACACGGCTCCCGGAAGCGGTGACATCCTTCTAGCTCCTAAGCAAAGGGACAGCCTGGAGACTCCACATGCTACCTCTACCTGAGCACCACTTCCACAGCTTCCATTGGCTGGAAACTCCCAGTGGGAGCTTGAAGGATGGCTCCTACACATCCCTCAGCACTGTGTGCTGCCTCCACTTATAATTGCTTCCAGGGAGCTCCTCGAGGTAAGCCCAGCTCAGAGTCCAAACCCCTGCGAAGATTCCAACTGCTGCCCCCCACCCCAACTCCTTCCTGGAGCCTGCACTCTGCACCCCCTCCAACACTCCTGCCCCAGACTGAGGCTTCTTCCCGTGCACCTTAAGCCCCTTATTTCTGGCCCCACCCTGGAACGAAGGCTGTGAACTCTGACAAACTATTCTGGGAGATGTTTTCCCCTCATCCCCAACTGTACATAATGCCATTTTCTTAAAACAATCTATTAAGATCTCCAGGCAACCCTACCAGGGACCTGTACTCTCAGCCAGAGCCCGTATCTCTTCTCATACCCTTCCCACCTACCTTAGCCTGGAGCCCCTTCCTGTACCCCAAAACCCACTACTGAGCCCACACAGCAACCCTCAGCCCACCCCCATTTCTGGCCCTACCCCAGAGCTTGCATCGCCAGCCAGAGCCCTCATCCTTGTATCAATCCCCTGGCATCACCCTACTAAAAATGAGTAAGGATGGGAGACAGAGAGCAATGGGATGTGGGTGGGGGAATGGAGCAAGCAGAGCACAGGGCCTCGGGGCAAGGGTGATCTGTTTTGTGCAATTAGAAAAGTTGGTAACCCCAGAGTTCCCTGTTTGTCTCCGTGGCTCCTTGCAACAAACCCAGCACCTCAGAGAGAGACTTCTACTCTACCCCTTCCGGGTGCAATGCTCTCAGTGAGTATTCACAGGCAAGAATAGACAGCCATGTCAAAAAGTAACAATTCATTAGTCATCTGGCATACAGAATCTTACAGTCTTCAGGCAACACAGAAAGGCTGAAATTAAACCAGAGTCCACCTGAGTCAAACCAGTACCCTGATGGGCCAGCTAAGCAGTGTTAGCTAGCT